CCCCAAAACCCCAAAACCCCAAAACCCCAATTTATTTAACACGTATTGAAATTCAATTATTCTTTCTTAGCTTTAGAGCCAGATTCAGAAGAACATCTCCATATCTGCTGCAAGAAAAACAAAAGAATAAATATATACACCACGAGAATCACAGGCTTAATGAAATGGCGAGATTGTGGAAGTCTGTAAGTCACTCGGACGTTCTTATCGTGAACTCTCTCTAGCACATTTCTTCTTTTCATGATTATTTTCTCTCTTCCGGAGAGATCTAGATATCTGTAAACAGTCTCATTTTTGATACTTTCCATCTCAAATGGGATATCAAGCCTTGTATCAGTGGCACCTTCTGGAAGAGTTATTGAGAATTCAAAATTTTCAGCAATGATGTCTTCAAATGGATGTGAGAAGCTGATTTTCACTTCAAATTCCTCTGGGTTGCCAGTTCCCATAATATATGAATCCTTTGGAAGTTTATATCCTTGTTGCCAGTATGTTTTCCAGCCACCCATAACCGGGAATCTAGGTTCGATAGAGAACTTGACACCATCAGAGTCTCTTCTAGCATGAGAGGTGGTGATATTACCAATCTCATCTGTATAATAAAGCTCAGTAATATCTGAAGGAAGCTCTCAATAGAGATCAGTGACCGCATATTTAATGGTTGCTGGGTTATAAGCAACTCTACTAAAACCACCGTCAAGAGCAGGGATCTGATTTTTCAGGTTGTATTGCTCCTCAACATCAATAGATGACCAATGGGAAATGGTCACATCTCTCTTCACACTGGTGAAGACTGGCTGTGGGAGATCAATTTTAATTAGAATATATATAGCAGAAGATTGTAAAGGCTTGACATTTTTGTATGTTCCATATTTAACCTTTTTAGATCTCGTATCAGTATTCTCTATTTCTGTAGCTTTCAAAGAGTGACATTCATTGCACTCAAAGGTAGACTTCATTTTGCCTGTTTCATAAAGAGTTGGATAATAAGCATCATCAATTATTCTCAGCTGGGGAACATCCCTCATTTTCATAGTTGTAGAATAAGGGGCTTTCCTGTTTGAATAAACTTCTTTCACAATAAATCTTTGTTTCCCATTTGCTTCCAAGGTTCCGATATCGACTCTAAAGGGGATGAAATCTTGACTAGGGATCTCAAAAGAGTCGTCTCTAGCAACATTAGCCACTTTTCTATCCAATTCCACTTCGATATAGACTAAGCCATCGATATTATCCTTGTCAACAAGTAAGATATATTCCTGGATATCTTGCTCTTCATTATTTGTAAATTCAATAATAGTTTCTTGTAGATAGTAATTGTGTCCCAATTGTACATTTCTAGTAACTTTATTATTCTTGATTGCATTGGTGGTCACCACTGCGATGAGAAGCAGTAAGAGAGCGAAGGCTATCCTCAGATCTTTGGCAGCCATGTTAATTTTAGTTATAATTATCAAAATCCACTGACAATTATTTTGTAGGGGTTTTGGGGTTTTGGGGTTTTGGGGTTTTGGGG